GATTCGACAGAATGTCGAAACCATAAAGAACAATCAAGCAAAATTCAAAGAAGACTTGAAAACTTTCGAACAAAAACTCGAAAGAACTTCAGAGTCGCTTAACCTAAAGTTCGATACTCTAAACGGCGAAGTCCACGTGGCCATGACCAGAGTTGACAAATTGGAGGATGAGGTCAGCAAGCTCGCTACTAATGTCAACCAAGCGTACGAAAGGCTTTTATCATTGGAACGTTACTCAAGAGATTTCAACCTACCATTTTACAACATTCCCGAGGACTCAAATGAGAACTGTATTGAAAAATTGAAGACCATACTATTTAATGATTTGGTGTGCGTGTTTTTGTTTTTAATGAATAACAAAGCTACAATAGAATAAAGTCGATCTTGTTAAAGGGCCACGATTAGCTTTACTATAATGTGCCCTTCTCCATTCTAATTTTCTTCTTTTATTATTATTATGTACACGTAGTTTAAGCAACTTTGTATTAATTGATATATATTGTACAACTAATGTATTATCTATAGGATGGAGTAAAAATAAAAGACAAAACACAAATACAAATACATGTACTTTTACGCGTCCCAATTTTACACCAGTCGACTTTTGACGTTAAATACATCTAGACGACTTTATCGTTTTTAGTTGTATAAAAGCGACAAATGAATGGAAAACCTATGTCTAAGCCGTGACATTAGCGATGTATTTAAGATATATTCTTTGATCACTCTCGAATCACCACCTGTTTTTTGATTTCTAAGTTATCTCAAGCAACCGCTCAAAGGATATTAACTTCAACAAAGCATCAACTGCATCAACTGCTTATTTAGAGCGCTAATGGATCGTTAACTTCGAATCACTGAGGTGAATAATAAATCGAAAATGCTAAAAGCCTGGATGTGTTAATAATTTAAAACATTAGTCAAGGTCTTTGCTAAGGGCTCTTATAAGCGAGCGTTCTCAATACAAAACACTTAAGCTTTAGTGAGATGCTGTGCTAGTCATACTCACAAAGCAGGGTCTGTAGTGTCCCTCGACATTTGACTTTACAATCATTTTTTTCCAAACACGGTCAAGGTCAACTATCGTTTTTGGTTTTCTTTCGTCTTAGAGCCATTATCATAAAAGCATCTTAAAACGAGGAAAATAAGAGTTAAACGAGTAAAAAAGAATAAAACTAAAATATTTTTGAGCCACTTTCAATATCTTCTCTTGCCACAACAATAAGTGTTAATTTTTAATCTTAGATAAATACTGATTATCAAAAAGCATTTATGCTTGCAGTTTTATTGCTGTGTTATTAGTTTGTTCGCATAAAATGTTGATAATTCCCCAACAATAAGCGTTAATTCTTTATCTTAGACATAGTTATTAGAGGAGACTGGTTATGAAAAGCGGCAAACATCAATGATAAAAACAACAGTGCTGCAGTTTATGTTGGAAGCACCCTGAAAGTCCACAATCCTTTGTTTTCTGTTGGCAAATTGTTACGGAATAAATTAATGCAACGTTTTTATTGGTCAATACAATCGAAATGATAGGAATTCTTTTGAACGTTGTGCACTTTCAGGTCCACAAAAACATATAACAAAG